TTAGTTTCCTCCAACATTTTAACATTCATCATTTTTTTAATATTATTGACATATTAAGAATCAATATGTAACATTATTTGTATATAATTTCTATCTTATAATGGTATAATATATTTTTTAAAAAAATAAAAATAATTAAAAAAAATAAGTGAGAAAAAAAAAATAATATTAGTACATAAAACTCACAAAAATATCATTTTAACAACCAATTTGCTCACTGTGTGCATCCAATATACTACATGAATATAAATGTATGCTTATAAACATAGAGTGCAAGTTTGTAACTGCCCTTTTATTTTGTTAGCAATTTAACCCTTTTTTTTAATGTCATTTTTTAAAATTAGTATAAAATGGAAATTTTCACTAAGCATACATTCAGAGAAGCATTAAAAATACTTGGCTATAACTATAAGATCATGTAAATGGATTGGGATTCAGGATCATCATAACCAACCATGGATACCAACAAGGAGTTGGATCAAGTGGTAAGCAGCTTGTTTCAGCTTAAACAAATTTTTGAGTTTGAGGCCTTGTGTATGCAGCAACCCCGTTAGGAGACTCATCCACCATTTCCAGGTGCGCAATGTGGGTCGGATCCAGATTAGTCGGGGCTCTGATACTGGGCGGGAAACCAAAAAAATAAAAAATAAAAAAAATAACCAACCATGGATTAATTAGTTCAAAATGCAAGCTAATCAAATCTTGCTTTATTTTCACTTTTTTTTCACATCGAGTGATAAAATGTACGACTAAAAATAATACTTCCTTTTGCTCCCAACAGTTTCACCACTTTCTCTATTTTATTCTGCCTCAAAGCTTCGCAATCCATGGCCTCTTCAACCCCACAAATTTCTCCATGTGAAACCCAGAATTCCTTCACCAATGCCGCCAAGTCATTCAATTTCGAAGAGAAACACGCAAACAGAGGCCTCTCAGTCTACTCGCCACTGTCCGGCGAGATTCATGTCATCGTAGGTCCCATGTTTGCCGGGAAAACGACAACGCTGCTTCATAGAATCCAATCCGAGAGCATAACTGGCAGGTTTGCACCTTCTATATTCCATGACTTGTATTTGGTTTTCTGGTTTTTGTTCTGGTGGGACTTTTTTGGGTTTCTAATTTTTCAAGTTTACTACCTGTCTTAATTATCCAATTAGTGATTTTGGGGGGGGTGGGGGGTGGGAAGAGTATTCCTTAAAGGCCTTGTCTGTTTTCTTCTCGGTGTTCCCATAGTTACCACTGGATCATTACACATTAGTCACGGTGACATATTCCCCTGCTTTCAGGTTGAGCTCCGTAAAAATTCTCTGCAATTGGATAAAACTATAAGGGGTCTTTGTTTAAGGGGAAGACCGAGTGAAGCTGTGCGACTGTTGTGGTGTCCAAGAGTGATAATGAATGAAAACACATTTGCTCTTCGCTTGCAAGAATGCATATTCAGGAAAGAGTATAGGAAGGGGAGGAGAATTCATGCACAAATGAGGTTGTTGGATATGTATCCAATGAATATCTGAAGATCAAATTATTGATACTGTATGCAAAATCAGGGAATCTAAGAACTGCCTCTATTCTGTTTGATAAGTTATTTAAGAAAAACTTGATTTCCTGGAATGCAATGATTTCAGGGTTTGTGCAGAAAGGGTGTGTTACAGAAAATGTTGTAGTCAATAGTGCCCTGATGGATATGTACTTCAAATGTAGCGGTCTGGATGATGGGCGTAAGGTATTTGATAAATCATTGGATAGAAATGTTGTTACTTGGACTGCTTTAATATCTGGGTATGGCCAGCATGGAAGAGTTAATGAGGTTTTGGAATCATTTGAAAGAATGAAATATGAAGGGTTTAGACCAAACTATGTTACATTTCTTGCAGTTGTCTCTGCTTGTAGTCATGGAGGCTTGGTTGATGAAGGTTGGCATTATTTCTTATCCATGACAAGAGATTATGGAATCCAGCCACGAGGGCAGCACTATGCAGCTTTGGTTGATTTATTTGGTCGTGCTGGGAAGCTGCATGAAGCTTATGATTTTATTCTTAACTCTTCTTGTAAGGAGCACTCAGTAACATGGCGGCAACTGCTTGGAGCCTGTAGGATTCATGGAGATATGGAAGTTTGCTGCAAATAAATACTTTGAATTGGACCCAGAAGATGCTGGAAAGTATGTGGTATTATCTAATGCTTATGCCACTTTTGGTTACTGGGATAATGTTGTAGAGGTAAGGGAGATGATGAAGAGTTCAGGGATCATAAAGGAGCCTGGTTATAGTAGGATGGAGGTTCAAGGGGAGGTCCAGTTCTTTTTAAGGGATGATAGATCTCATAAATTATCCACTGAAATTTGTAAGTTAATCAAAGTAATGACTTCCTGTTTAAAGGATGCTGGCTATGTTCCTGATTTAAGCAGCGCATAGTTCTATATAATTTTATTTTTTTGGTGCATATTGCAACAAGGCAGAGCTGCTAGGAGGTTCCAAAAATTACATGTTTTTGCTGCACTGTTGTGTTAAGATGTGTGAAATCTTTGGAC